TCATTTTCGGTTCTAAAGCTTCGTATTTGGTCAAAAAAGGCACGTATTCAGTCAAATACTCTTGTTTTTGGTCAAATACTCTCGTTTTTGGTCTTGAAATTTCGTTTTCAATCTAGAAATTTTTGTTTTCGGTCAAGGTTATTTTTTTGGACAAAACGTTTGACTTTCAAGTTTGACTTTCGAGGTTTCAAATCAAATGGCATTTTTCTTGGCTTCACAATCAGTTCTATTTTTGGTAAATTATTCTTTTTGGTGAATAATGAGTTCTTCAATCACCAAGGTTAATGAAGCTTCATGCTTTCAGTCCTGTGAAGCTATAATTAAATCTTAACGTGATCAACATGAGCTATTAATTTGGGAAATTGAGGACCTTAAATATGAAGGCTATACTCTCAGAAAGGCTCAAAAACCTCTAAAATAACAACTAGAGGCCAAGACAAGAGACTTTAGACAACTTCAGGAAGACTATAGTAACAAATGTGAGAACTATAACCATGTTAAGAGACAGCTTGCCAGCTTGACTGACGAGCTTGACACATTGAAGACTAGATTTGAAAATGCAGATTTTAATTTCAAAAAGTTTGTTGTGTCAAGTAACACAATTGAGACCATGATAGAAAAACAGTTAAAAGGGCAGGACAAAAAGAAAGTAGGTCGAGCGTATGACATTGTTCCTCCTCCTTTTAATCATAATTACACCTCTATCCCTATGACTAAAGAAGAAATGGACAGAGAAGCACACCTTCAGTATGGCAAACCTGTTGTGGTTGTACTAGATAATAGCTCGAGGGTGAACGATACTAATGTCTCTACATCATATGCAGATTCATCCTTAGTACAAGACATGCAGGAAGCTGGAGGAAGTTTTTTTGATAATGATTTTTCTTTAAAAACTGATTCTTTGAAAAATGTTTTTGGTTTAAAAACTATTGTTTTTGATTCTGCTTTTATTCCTTTGAAAACTGATACTTTAGTTTCTGATAATTCTGGTTTGAAAACTGTTTTTGTTGAATGTTCAAATAGTGCTCCTTTGAAAACTGATAATCCTACTGTTTCGGATAAATGTGCTGATGTGTTTGAGAAATCTAATTCTAATGGACCTGCCACTAGCAAATACATGCCACCTAAGCCAGCCAAACGGACTGAGCCATGCAAGTGTGCTTGTGGAAACAATAAAGGACACGACAAGGACACTGAACTAGGAACGAACGGTACCAGCTTCTACCTGAAGAAACAGACATGTTTCCATTGTGGAACTCCTGGACATATTGCAAGAAATTGTCCAAACCGTGCATATGTTCCATACTATGCACAAGGTAGGCCGAATGAGTCACGAGGAAGCTCTCTTAAGAGAAAGTCCTTGAGATCTCGTTCAATTGATGGTGATTGGAACGTTAATAAAGACAGAAATCGGGCTGCTAAACTTAAAAAGGACAAACAGGTTTTGAACAAAAATCCAAAAGACGCTTTAGCGAAATCAAAATTGGTTGAGCCAAGATCGGTATCGCCAAAGTCATCGTCTGGCTCTTCATCTAATCAAAGAAGGATACCCAAACGACCAAAAACAAAGAAAAATACTTCAAAATCACTTGTTAAAGTCCCCACTTGTGTTAGTAACAAAGTTCCTAAACCTAATTACAAATGGGTGCCCAAAAACTCATCTGTCCAATCAGCTCAAAGTCCATTAAATGCATCTTGTAATCTATCTGACATGAAATGTGAACAAGTTAATTTTGTTGATAGAAAAAGTAAACCCAGTGTTTCTATGGCCTGGGTTCCAAAATCTAATTAATCCCGCACTTTGTGCTGGGGAAGCTATCGAGGAATATCATTAAACTTCATTTTGTTGATAGTGGCTGTTTCAGGCACATGACAGGAGACATCTCTCAACTTCACATCATTCAGAACTTTAAATGAGGGTATGTATCCGTTGCGGGAAGGAAGTAGGAAGGGATCACAAATGGGATCATACTTAATGATGTGAAGAATTTTTTGAACTTGTTAACTTCGTTCCTGAGTTGAAACACAGCTGAGGCTGAACATGTTGCTTCATATGCGAGCTGTTCTATGATCATCTGGCTGCAACTTCAATTGCTGAATTACGGTTTGAGTTTTCCACTCGATACTTCTAAGTTTTTCCTAAACTGATTCGTTTTGAAGACAAATTTTGTTTAAATTTGCGTATTTATTTTGTTTCCTTTCTTCCCCATGCACAATCTAAGGGGGAGAAATCAAAATACAAAAAAAAATTATAAAATCAAAAATACAAAAAAAATATGTTTTCTTTCGTAAGTATTCTTGGGAAGTGATATGAAGTTTAGTGCTAAAGGGAAATATGAGATGCGTGTAATGCACTGAAGCTAAATTGTTTAGACTATGTGTGTAATGTGCTGGTAGGCACGAAGGATTCCAAATTAAAGGACTAGACACAGCTGACAAAGAAAGCACTAGACAATGTTAACTCATCTGGACTTAGATAGTTTCATTTGGACTGACCATACGACACTTGGATAGATTGAGCAGTGAGATAAACAAGGGAGCTTACAAGATACATTAAAGTTACTTATCATCTAGAACTGTGGCTCAACATTTCTTCGATGTACGGACTTATTTCCTTAACTCTGGTGCTGATAGGGTGACTGGGGGTTCTGATAAAGTATGTCAGTGTGAAATTGTTTTTCTTTCTTATCCTCTCTGTCAATCATATATTGTCCCCTTTGCGTGATCAGAAGATCCGGCCTGGGACGCAACATATGCACCTCTATTTCTAGACATCTCTATCTATGCTTCTCTCTATCTATCTATGTCAGTCATATGATGCCCCCTCTGCGTGATCGGAGGATCCGACCTGGGACACATCATATGTATCTTTCTACTTCTCTAACCCTCTATCTATGTTATTCATATGTTGTCCCTCTGCGTGATTGGAAGACATCCGACCTGGAATACAACATATGCATCTCTATATCCATCTTCTCTCTCAAATAATTGAGCACTCACCTAAAGTAAAGAGCTCCTTGTAATTCCTTGATTACTAGGGTATATCGTGAAATGGGGAACACATTCTAGTGCACTTAAAATTGAACTAACCATAGGCTGACTGTAGATCTCGTTGCTAATTTAAGTGGACAACAATACCATTGGTCATCGTCAGAAAAATGGTCTATTTAGGAATAAGATCACAATGACTTGTCACTTATAATTTGTCCAACTTTTCAATATCCTTTGTGTTTAAGTGGAACACAATATTGGTGATTGACCAGAGCTAACATGCAGGTGTGTGCTGATAAACGATATTGAATTGCTTGACAACTTTGATCCCAAAAAGTTTTAAATTTAGTTATTATTTTTGTTTTTGTTAAATTTGTTCATATTTTTCCTCTATGCACAAATTTAGGGGGTGAATTAAAATAAAAAAATTCATAAAATTTAAAAATACAAAAATATGTTTATTTCTGTTTTATTTCCTTTTCAGAAAATTAAAAATCCAAAAATATTTTATTTTTATTTTGAGTGTATTTTTAATTTTATTTTTATTTCTTAGTTATTTCTATTGTGTGCTAAGTTTATTTTTACTTTTATTTTATGTCTCAAAGTTTCGTTTGTCTTAAAAGCGAATTCAAAAAGAAGAAGAGACTCAAGGAGACTATATCGGAATTTTCTGAGCAAGGAGAAGAAACTTGGAAAGGAGTTGATGGTCATTACACTTCACTCTATTTTCACAAGGAATTGAAGGATTGAAACTATACAAATTGTCAGTTAGGCAGTATCTTTCTAAGAATTGTCGTATTTAAGGAACTAAAAGTCTGAAACTGTACAATTGTCATGGCATCAGGGCGATGCTCCTCGCAAGGCACGATTATCGTTGAACGTCTCGCCAAGGGCCAAGTTAACTTGTTAACTTGAAAAACTGTATTGAGATCTTTTATCTAGGATATACAGGGGCTGGCATCAAGAAGGCCATGAGTAGTTCTCTGATACTCATCAAATCGCAGTGCGTTCCTCCGTGCTCACACAGATACTGCGAGTAGTTTTCTCCTTAGCCAAGGTTGGGTCCTTGAACAACTGTGGTGAGAAGGGTCTTTATGATTCTGTGATCCACAGGGAATTTTTATTCATGGTTACTTTTCAAGGCGCAACGGTGGTCATTAAAGAATACTCATTCAAAGGAACAAGAAGTGAAGATTATTTTTCAACATTCAATCTTTCAACCCCAGAAGCAAGGTGAAGTTGTACTTGAAGTTATGTGACATATTGCATTGAAGCCTCCACAATCAATTTGCTGCTATCTATGAACTTGCTGAAGTGATCCAGAAGAATCGGTCTCTCTGTTATTTTCTCTGAAGTATTTCAAAGCTAAAAGTGTTGATTTCTAAGAATCTTTACACGAAGCCCCTACACCCAATGTGCGTTCAAAGTCAAATTCTTAGAAGGAAGTCCAACTACTAAAGATGAAGTTATTCATGAAGAAAATTCATATGTTCATCTTGAAGTTGTGAAGAAATTGAAGATAAAATCTAAAAGTAAAGATCAAAGAGAAGATTAAAAAAATTGTTAGGACTAAATTATGGTTTATTCTAAGTGAAAAGAAAGTTATAAACCAAGGGGAGATTGTTAGGTCATTGTAATAATTGGCAAATTGGGCCAACTGTTGACGCTCAGTTACTGTAAGCGTTGCTATAATCTAAACCAAATGTACGATACACTAACGTATATTAAATAAGTTTAAATGGTATTACGCTTAATTGCTCAAATTTATATATTTTGAACCGAAAGAGTTATGATTTTTCATCCGAGTTAATTTTAAACGTTGATTCACGAAACTCGATATACCAGAATTAAAATTTGTCTGCGTTTTTTTGAATCATTACATTCTACACGATCATCGAACACATGAAATGTTGTAAGCATATCGAGTTGATTTAATTAACAAATTAAAGGGACGGAAAAATAAATAACATGATTAAAAGATGTTTACATTTAAATAATTACACATTAAATTCCCAAATCATTATATTATTCATAAACATATAATCTAAGTGTATAATATGTGTAATTAAAAATACGCAACTATAAAATGATATATGTTTTAAATACTCAATCACTTATACATGTGTGTATAACCCACATAAAATCTACGATATTTGTTGTGTACTTACAAAATCCTACAAAGATCACAAGTAATATACTCAACATCTCCATATCAATCACCCCCTCTCACACGTTGTATCTCCCTACACAATCCTTCAGAGATTTCCAAGTACTTCAGAGATCTCAAGAACTTCTAAATATCTGCTTTTGATCACATAGGAAAGTCACACAATCATTCACAAACTCACTCTTTCTCTCCCTTCTTTCTGTTTCGATGCACAGCCAAGAATACCTCCATTGGAGGTGGTTTTCTTGTGGTTTCCTGGTGAGCTAAGGAGCAGCAGCCCCTCCTCCTGTCAAAGAAGCTCAAACCCAAACATCCTTCTCCTATATGGATTTTTGTCAAAAGCAAACCCAAACAACCATTTTGCTCATTCCATAGATTCCTGTTAAAACAAACAAAATCCCAAAAGAAGCTTCTTACCTATTGTTGATCGGAACTGCAAAAGCAATGGGGAAACATCGTGATTGTCGATCGGGCCAGAAAAGAAGAAACACGAGGACTCGCCGGAGACTGATCGCTGCTATGATTCGTCGCCGGAGAAACCCACACCCTTCCTCCCTCGTTCTTCCTGTCGATCAAACAACTCTAAACAAACCCCCACCAAATGTTGTCCCAGTTCCGATCCGCACCTCCATCTTCCCTTTGTGTTACCTGCCAAAATCAGAAGAGAAAAGGCGACGAGTAACAGCCGGAGCCGCCTCTCGCCACCATTGCTGTCGATCACAACTTCTTCCGTCGACCTTGCTGCCGTTTTCTTGGCTCACTGCCGGTGGAGATTAAAGCAATCCAAATGAGGCTCGCCGGAGATCGATTCCTCCTCCTAACCTACCAGCCATCGCCGGAGATTGGACCCTTCTCGTTGTTCCGTTTGTTCGTCGCTCCCTCTGTTCCTATACTCGATTTGACGAACGAATGAAGAAGATGAGGCGTAGAATCCCTTTTACTCAAACTGTGTATCAGATTGGCAGAAACAGTCCCCCCATTATAGCCTTGAGACTTAAATCAGTCCCTTAATTGGAAACCATACAAAACAAGTCTTGTGGGACTTAAGATTTATTAAAATGGTCCTTTTTTTTAATGAATTTATCACAAATCAGTCCTTGTGATAATTAAATTACAAAATAATTTTCTTATGAAAATAAAAAGTATTTCAAAACATGTCCCTTTGACTTAAAATATTATAAAAATTGTCTCGGACCATATTTTAACTCAAAAGACGTCAAGGTGCGGTTATTCACAAAAAGCTTCACCAAAACAAATCGGGATCGAGATCACGCATCGAATGTGAGTTTCTACGGCCCCTCTTTTACGGTTTTAATATTTGGGGGAGAATATATGCGTGTCTATTAAAGTTTAATAATTTTTTAGTTTTATATACAAAATAACATCTTACTTTGTTATTGGTCAAACGTTTATGAAATAGCAATCTAAAGATGTGATAAATCACTAGGAAATCTATTAAGTTAAAGTAGATTGTTATAAGTTGATATAATTATACTTTATGTGAAATATAAATATAATTATTAAGAAAAATCACAAGATTGAAAGTATATTGCTATAATTATACAAGTGGATATTATGAGTCACAAAAATGATGACTTTACATGTATAAGATAAAGTATCTCATGGAAGCATGGAACGATATAATAATGACCAAAATTATTATCCGTGTATAAAATGAAAGTATATTGCCATAATTGATGGAAGATTAAATTCATGAGATTATATAATTATTGGTTAAAATTATAAGATTTAACTTTTAATATATATAAGGTTATGTAAAAATGAATTGAGAAATTATTAATATATTTTTATATTAATTATAACAACATAACTTCATTATACTAAGTTATTTATTCTTATCACAATAAATAACATGATCGACTTCAGAGCTTAAGAGTCATTATTTACGTAATAAGTACTTGTCGAGTATTGTATTTAAAGACTTTACCTTTATCCCAAATTAAATGTATTAAAAACATTCTCGCATAATTTATATAAAATATGGGGAATGTAGATCTACGGTCGATCCAAACTTGGATAAATTCAAAAACTAGCTATTATGCTAATACAACATCGAAATTGTATCTAGTATGATAAATTCTTGAAGATATAAGAATTTCAGTTATCGTTTTCCTAAACAGTGAATAATGTTACATATCCAGTGAATTTAGAATGGATTATATAGGTTTATCATACCTACTCCATATAGGTTTATCATACCTATTCCAGATAGGTTTATCATACCTATTCCAGATAGGTTTATCATACCTATTCCATACAGGTTTATCATACCTACTCCATATAGGTTTATCATACCTATTCCAGATAGGTTTATCATACCTATTCCATACAGGTTTATCATACCTACTCCATATAGGTTCATCATACCTATTCCATATAGGTTTATCATACCTATTCCGAATACCAGATCCGATACGTTTGAGTATCCATTATAAACTATTCCAGGTTTCGCGAAAGCTAAGATCTCAATACTTAGCAGAAACTCTCCAATATATAACCGTTAATCCTCGAGGGAACGACTAACGTCGGGTGTAAGTGTCATATTATTGATCTTATACGGTACGACCGCCCGCCTGGAGTTGCTAGCTACAACTACATCTGACGAGATGAATTTTGGCGTTGACGTTAGCATTATCAAAACATTACCACGTGTTACAACGGGGTGAATGACTTTAGCACGCACGCCTTATTATGGTGTCGGTGCATTAATAAAGTATAGTGTCACGAGTTCGGTTATGATTTCATTATAAAATCCCAGTTTTGTTTCGTTACCGTATAGAATCGATATTGGATTTATACGGGGTTTATGTTCACTCATTCTAGTTGAAAGAAACTGTATTTAGTGGGATAGCTTGTGACTCAAAGCGATAAGTGTCAATACCAAAAATTAAGTTATATAACACTTAGTTAATATCATGACACGACTCGACAAGATTTATTAACTTATATAATATAAGTTATTTATATAAACCATTTGTTTGTATAAGAAAACAAAATATTTATGTGGGAGGAGTTTGCCCCACCAGTTAAGTGTCGGTTTTCAAATTAAGTCAGATAATACTTAATTATTGTCACGACACGATTTTACAAAGTTCATAAATTCAAGACTTATGAGTTTTTCATATAAATGATACAAATTCTTGTATAAGGTTTCAAGAGTAAAGTTGGTTATTCTATGTTCTCACAAAGGGTATCATTTCCTATTTTTATATAATTAGATATTCAAAATATTTATATAAAAATGCACTTTGATATAAGTCTGAATTACTTATATGTATTTTCCAACTCTTGTACATTTGGATTTGAACAAATGGTATTTATGAATGAGTCATAACACATTTTTATAAATCAATTATTTTATACTTTTTAATAGAAAAGTAAATATTTATAAAAGGTGGTCAGCCAGCCAAATTTTACCAAACACTTTTGGGTTATAAAAGTACTCTGTGTCAAAACCTGTAGAACTCACCAACAATTTTGTTGACGTATTTTAAATGCATGTATTCTCAGGTTATTTAACAGATCGGAAGTATTCGCTCACAAGATTCTTCATTAATTGTACTATACATTTGTAAACGCCAGATTGTTAGGCGTGTGTCACGATTTAGTGATAGCCATTATCAATGTAATTTCTATTTCAGTTATAATAGAAAATTATATTTGTACTGTTCAATGTATGTTTAATAACTGTGATTACTGATTTACATCGCGCACCTCGGCGTTTCCGCCGGCGGCCGAGGGTGTGACAGTCATAAATTGTGGTTTATACTTTTCTTTTCATAGGCTATTAGAGTTCTCGGTCTATGACCGAAAACACCAGGTTTTGGTGTTGTTTGGACCAAAATCACATGTGATTTCGGTTGGGCTTAATGTTGTTTTGTTTGGGTTTTGGGCTTGGGCTTGGTTATTAGGTCTAGGTATAAATAGTGTCATTTGAGCCTTGTAAAGCGTGTGGGACGTTTTGGGGGCTGCCATAAGCTTAGAACGTGATTTGGAGAGAAACAAGAGAGAACCAAGTGTAATCAAGAATCTTATGTACCCGACTATTTAATAATAGTGTGCATTGAAGATTAACCATTGTGTTCTTATTATATATTTCGTCTTGTCTAATTCACTTGATTAGGATTCCACACAATCAAGTGAATTTGATTGATACATCGTAGCGATTTAGGGACTTACAATGGCAGTTTGTGAGTGGAGCTCTAACTCTGAAATCCTCGAGTCGTGTGCAATAATCTTAGAAAACATGGAGTCAATCTTGTGATGCACATTCATAATCAATACTTTTTCCTGTGTGATTTGAACCTCGATCCTTTGCACACGCCCCGATAAGAGTGATGCATTCCCATCAATGATGTTGATCTATTCACTTCTAGTTGTCAACTGATTCCCAATCCTAACACTTCGCTCAAATATATGTGCCAAATCCTCAACATCAGTGAGAGGCAGAGGACGTTCTCCTGATGTCTGTTATCTCTCAAATCTGCTAGTGATCATCCATCTGAAATCTGATCCTCCATAAAATCTACGAGCCAAGCAAGGTCATTATGGAACCTTTTCAGGTCAGTAGGTTTCTCTTGGTGAGTTTTCCTGATTCTCCCTAAGATAGGAATAGAGTTATGCGTAGTACATTTTCTTCACCTTCCTCCCATCACTCGCTGATATGGGCTAGACGGTGGTGGCCGTGGTGGCGTGACTATATCTTCCTCTTCCATGGGCTCACTCTCCTTAAAAGGTTCAGACATTTCAGATTGATCCATCTCTTCTGATGGTTTGGCCTCTTCAGATGGCTCAGTCTCTTTCTCCAACTCTTCTTTTTCAAAGGTATTATCTTTCTGTTCATCGCTTCAGTCGGTACAGGAGCTCCATCGTCCAATGGTATTGGGTTGTACCTCGTTCGGTACTCCAGGTAGTAAGGATCACCATGCAGCAGAGGAATAGGAGCCGCGGGTTCTTCTAGGACCATCGACTATGCTTGTTTTTTCTATGATCCTAGTTGTGATTTGGTTCTTAGAATATCTAATAGTTTTATCCTACCAACTATTGTACTTAAGTTAGATAGTACATGCGGCCGAGCCATAATACAACTTAGGTGAGCAAACTATGTTTAGTTGTGGCATGACCTATGTACTATAAAACTTAGTTGAGTATTTGATCTAAAATCTTGAGTTTTTAGTATGTTATGATATTAGGTAGGTGTTCTCATTACGGGATTGAGTGTATACATAAATCTCCATATCTTGTGTTTATTGTGTATTATTATTTAAAAATACTTTATTATTTGTAGGTTTAAAGGATTAACCTAAACAGAGAGTACTCGTCTTAAGCTATAGTCGTAGTTCCTAAATAAAACACTGGTTCGCTACAGCTAAGGTTCTGATACCAATCTGTCACACCCCCGATCGATGACGAAAACATTGGGTGAGCGACGTCGAAAATGGATCGCAGTCAAAGCATACATTGAACAGTAAAAAAACAACATAATATTACAACTTCTAATATAAAATAAGTCTTACATCGTCGAGTACATCGTACCATAACTTGAAATATAAAAGTAGTTGCCTTAACACATTGGCAATATCAAAAGTGCGAACTAAAAGATCCATAACATTCGTGAGTGTGTGAAACTTCAGCTCTTTAAGTTCCTGAGAATACATGTTTTTAAAGATTCGTCAACAAAATCGTTGGTGAGTTCCACATGTTCTGACTCAAAGTATTTTTATAACCAAAAGTACAATTTGAGCGCATAAGTGTTTACTTGTTTAGTATATTCTAAAAATATACTTATAAACCTTTTATCGTTTAGTTCATATGTTCTTATACTAAGTTATATACATATACTTGTATCTTGGTACAAGTGTTTATTAGCTCAGTTAAGTTCCATACCAAGTTAACTTATTGTTGTTAAAGCGTACTCTAGAATTTTTCTATGAGTTTATAACCGAGTTAAATGACGTTCAAGCCTCCGTCGCACACTAAAAAGGACGTGTGCCACAAGTATCACCTTAACGCTTCATTGTCATCGTGAAAAAAGTAACATGAACAGTTGTCACGCGACATGAATCATCAAACAAAGGGTTGTAGCTAGAAACCACGGGTGGGGGTGTCAATCGGTATAGATGTATATATAATGTCCTTGCTCACAAAGATTAACGGTTATAGCACAAAGGGCTTTAATAATTTTTTATCCATACTTAATGAAGAAATAACTCATATACTTATTCCTGAGTTTAACAGATCTAAAAGTGTGCTGTCGAGTGTCCTAAACTTTAGTTAAAAACATTTACTTGACTATTATTCGTTCACTGAGTTTAACTTGTTCAAAATGTAAATCCGACTCTTAAACCTTATAATAATAAGTTTATTAGACTTGATATTCATTTTTTGTTTAAAAACTATATCAAAGTTTCTAACAAAAATCAGACAACATAACGGTTCCGTTTTGACCAAAACCATGTTTTACCTAATGGAAAACTAAAAATGCCAACATGTATAAGTTCACTAAGCGTTAAAATATATCATTTGTAACTAGAATGACTTTTAACTACTTTTCACAATTATATATTTACAAACGATTAAAGAGTGTGTGTATATATATATATATATATATATATATATATATATATATATATATATATATATATATATATAAAATCAAATCATATAAACTTTAAACTAACAATAATAAGTTTATTTAAACGAATAGATGATTTGCACTTGTATTCTCCCGCAAAACATAAAAGATTTTAAAGGGGCCATAGAACTTACCCTCGGAACGTATGGAGTGTTCATTGGTGAGATCCGGTTTGTTTCGCGTTTTTCAGATTTTCAACTGGAAAGCTTTTTGGGAAAACAAAATTCACAGGCTTATAGATCTGCTTAACAGGTTCACAAAACACTAATTTTCACCCCAAACAGAACTATCAGAACAGCCAGAGGTCGTCGGGGCTCCGCTGCTTCACGTTGGTTCTTGGTTGTGATGTGTCTATTCAGCAGCTCTCGTCGGCCTCGTCTTCATCGAAGCAGATCAGCAACAGCAGGAGGACAGGGGGTGGTTTCGATGCGGAGAATGACGGAGGTGGGTGGCGGAATACGGTGCCCGGTAGCCGGAGTTCCTATCTGGCGACACTAAACTCGAGAGAGAAGGGGGTGAGGTAAAGAGAGTACAGAGAGGGTGAGTAGAAGCCGATATATAGGAAGATCTTGCACTCATTTATACGACATGATGACGTCATAGTGATGACATCATCATGGTGATGTCATTCACCACCTGTTGGCTTGATTTTTATGCCCCGCAACCCGACTTCGTAAAATTTTTATGAACATGCATGTCAATTGTCCTGAGTGTGGTGATTTAAAAAATGTAATCAGAATTCCAAACCGATAGACGAAACTACCAAAAAAGGCGTTTAAAGTTCTAATTTGGTAACTTTAACAGTTTTTCTATTACGGCTGTTTTTACGAAAGTGTTATAATTTCAAGCTAAACATATTCCGAATATGAAATCAAATATTGGCATAAAGCCTGAGTTTAAAAATTTGTTTAAAAACAATTTACGAAATGTCTAGCTATCCCAACGAACCGATACAACGCTCATTTCCGGGAAAACCAATTATAAAAGTGATTTGCGTCCGTTAAAAGGGCATAATTTCTGCGTACAATCTTCATTTTCGATGTTCTTTATATCCACAAAGTCGTGTGAGTATGTTCTATCCACTTTCAGTATCAATTGCTCACAGGTATACTTAATGCTCAAATTTTATTTTTAACGCATTAAATAGTACTTATTTTTTAGAATATAGTTTTGTTCTTTAGTGTTCGGCACAAATTGGAGACATGTCGTATCCGTATGCAAATATGAGTATAATAACTTCAATTACATTAAAAAATAAGGGATACTATATAATAGGTCCTTTTACATGGGAGGTGGCGGTTCTTTGACCGACGAATTCATACCTAATTTTATCATTTGCTACAAATTTCTAAATGTTAGAAACTCATAGGAACTCCTAAATGTCAAAGACATTTTTGTCAATTATTATTTGTATAATGTTGGGATTTTGACGTAAAAGTCTTTAAGTTTGACAAGTTTTGTCACTTTAGTCCATGTGACGATTTTTTGCTCGTTAATGCCCAAAGTTTATCAAGTTTTTTTCATTTTTGCCATTGCTACTTATAATAGTAAGTGTCCAGGGACAAAACTGACAAAATTTAACAAACTTAAGGACTTTCATGTCAAATTTGGAAAACATAATTGATGAGTTAAAAACTCTTTAGATCGATAGATCTTTAACAGGTAAATAAGCAAGAACAATAAATACTGGAACACACAATGAATCAATCCGTATGTCGAATGATTAAAATGTCGTCACACCTCAGCAGAGCTCGATTAAGAACTTCCACTGTAGAGGTGCGCTAGGGTTTACAGTACACTTGATAAAATAATAATGAAAGCATTAATGATAAGATTGCATGCATGCACCTTATATACTAAACCCTAGAAAGATAAGCACGGTTGGACAGGCCCAAACCGAGAATACAAAATGGATCGAACTACTAAGGCCCAATGGCGCAACCCTTTAAACCCAACAATCTCCCCCTTTGCGCCAATTGAGGCGAGAGACTACTTCGGTTGAGTAACTTTAGTCTTCCTCACAATCTTGAACAGTCTGGGGATGATGGCAAGAAGAGTTTGACGGAAAAGAATATACCACCTAAGCATATCAGTAAACATCTTTTTATCGGCTTCGCTGTTCTGATTACACCCGTGAACAATATCCAGAATATGCTCCAGGCAGGCGGTGGAGAACAGGTGTTTGTCAATAAGAGCGAACAGGCATTTTTGACCTTCGCCCCTAATGAACATGACCGTATAAAACTTAGGGTCGATTTTACCCTTAATCATCACATTGACATCGCTTGCCCTCCCTATTGGCTTCATAGTGGGCTTCTTATGTATGGCAGAGGCGATTTCCTGATCCATCTTTACGACTTCATGAATATAGCACACGAGCATTCGCTTGATGTGATCGATAATAGGCTCATACTCCTTTTGGTTAGTCAGCAAAATGTTGTTCAGGAGAATCCAATCATGAGGATTCAGATTCGGCAGATCAGCCAGGGAAATCATACGAACCGAGCTATCAGAGCCTCGGGTCACTTTGAACTTGATGTTGATAAACTTCCCTGCTGAAGTGAGTTTCAACACCTTGACCGTTGTGATTTTCTGACTACTCCAAGTCAGGTATTGCGGCTGATCAAACTCAAGATAATACTCAAGCAAATCCCGATCAACCTTCGGGTCTGGGGAAGGAATGCCAGTCGTTGACTCAAAACAAAAAATGAATGCCTTTCGGGTGATTGGCATATCAAATTGTGAGTCCTTGGAATTCTCAAGCCCAAAAGAAATGACCGGTTCGAGCTAATGAATGCTTGGTGCATCGATTACCTCCCTATGAAGCGTTTCCATAGACCACTCAGGAAACATAGACTTCCTTTGTTCTAGCATTTCGTTCGCTTTCCTCTCCTTATCAAGAATTTCTTTTTCTTTTTGAATCTTCGCCTCAATTTCTCGTTCAGTAGGATTAACTTTAAGATCTTCGGTTTTAGAAGCTTTTCCTTCTGTATCAGTGTCACCGTCGTTTTCATCCTCATCATCATCACCAATCATCTTCTTTCGGTTGCCCTTCATACTGCCCGAAGCTTCATTACCCTTCGGCTCAGTAGTGCTTTCGGTTTTGGAGGTGGTTGAGATTGACCCTTGCCCTGAGTAACATTTTCTCCCCCTTGTTTCGGAGGGACAACTGGCTTCGGAACACCCTCAATTCTGCTCAAAACATCCAGAGCAGGTCTCAACTTCTCAGCCAAGTGGCGTCGAATGGAGATGGTAAGGATCGAGTCATGGGCTTCCAGAAGGTGTAGGAGAATGGAATGTACATCACCAACCGAACTTTTAATCACTTCACG